GAGGCAGTATGACCTCTGAAACGTTGGTAAACATCTACCATATTACATGGCGCAACAACCCAGAAGACAGAAATCTTCATCATTGTTACTCCCGGACGATAGATAACTTTCACTTATGTTAATGATTTTTTTCATCTTGGTATAAACATAAAATATGAGTAACAAAAGCAAAATTATATCCCAGCTATTATACACAGGTTATATCTTAGGTTAGGACCACCACATATTCATGAAATTATACTGTATATACAAAAAGAACCTTGATTCACACATGACATACAACCACAGAAGTGCATTTTAAAAGTCTGCTACCTTGAAAATGAATACGTTGCAAAATGTAACAAAAGGGGTTTCCTTGCATTAAATTTGATATAAAGTCTTATGCTGGTTAAATGCTCAAACTATTGACATATTCACAAAGCTGAAATCACATTCCCTTCTTTGATCATCATCATGATGCGACAATCAAGGATTCTGTGCACTGTGACCCATTCCGGCCTCAATCGTCCAGGAATCTTTTTTATGGGTACCCTTTGTTTCCTCTTCCTATGTATTTGTGTTTCAAAATTAGATGTGGCATTCAGTCCTTGTACATTCTTCATACATGTTCAATCCAATTCCCTCTGTATCTGAATTTTTTCTACTACTGGTTCTGTTTGAAGTTTTTTGTGGATGTTTTCATTTCATTTATGATCTCTCCATGTGTATTTGGTTGTCCTTAAAAACTTCGCCTCTGAGATGCTGTGATTTTTCTTTAAGGCGTAGGATGCCTCTCCTACCCAAATGCCAATCTCACCTTTCTGTGGTATACCCTGTTCCTACTAAACAGGCTCTGGTGACCAAGCCTTGGTACGTGGTATGGAGGAAATGCTAATACCAAATACCGGTCCAGCAACTGAAAGATGGCAGCCCCATCACTGGACTACTCATCGGAAGGCTATTAACCTACCATGGGAAACTCGAGTAATATCTGAAAGCCTCTTCTTTGATATGAATACATATCACAGAATGCAAAGGAAATAAAACAGTATGAGATCTGAGGCTGGTGGATCGGCTAGTGGCATTTCAAGCATAGCTGGGCGTTTGGCCACCTGCCAATAAAAGTTTTAAATAATTAGAAGAAATTGGGTTGGTAATACCATGCACTAATGTTTTAATTGGAATGGGCAAAGTGCTAATGCAGGGTCATGACATTTTGTATGATGAGACAGCTTTGAAGATGAGCAACTTCTGTTAGGGCAATTAACTGTGACAATGGAAACAACACAGTTATCGAGTGCCATGTGCTATTCTTCAATTTAACGGCAATAACTGTTGAACCACTGTATACCGACATACATAATTTATACGTTGACATCCCCTGAAACACATTAATATGCACAAGACCTAATTCTTGAGAATCCTAAAATTAATAATGCATATGGAATTAACTAACCTGTTTAAAATGTTCTATTTGGGCATTTCTTGTATTGAGGTTGCAACACATGCACCATATTCTCCTTGGTGCACACACGACTGTATTTAACACGGAGGTTTTATGGCTGTACTGAGAAGAAGTACGAGGCGCGTCCCAAAAGTAAGTTTCCCTGGGGCCGTTTACAGAAACAAAACACAATTTCATGGAAGTATTTATTGCAACAGATACAGCAAGTGTCCAGCTATTTTTCAACATATTCGCCACCGGAATTGAGACATTTGTCATACCGTGGGACCAACTTTTGAATACCTGTGTCGTAGAAGTCTGCCGCCTGGGATTGGAACCACTGTGTGACAACCATCTCCGCCTCTCTTTCATTCTCAAAACGCTGACGCTGACGCTGACCGGACAGGAATTTCTTGAGGTGTAGGAAAAGATGGAAATCACTGGGAGCGAGGTCCGGGCTGTAGGGTGAATGATTAAACACCTCCCAGCTGAACTTCTGCAGGAGACTTGCTGTCCGTCGAGTCGTGTGCGGCCTAGCGTTATCACTGACCGCACTTCACAGTCGGCGGGGGCTGGAATAAGAACCTCCATCTTCAACAGCTGCAATGATGCTACTGTGAGAACGCGGGAAGTGCCGTTAGTGCATGCGCCATGCTACGTCATTGCTCTATCACGTACGCACAGTCGCTTCGCGCAATATAAGGTTTGCTAGCTGTGGGACGAGTGGGAAACTTACTTTTGGGACGCGCCTCGTACAATGTGAAATTTCCTGGTACTTACTTGTAGGTGGCTGTACAGTAACACTGGAAATCTGCCTGTTCACCTGCAGCCACTCCAGTAGAAATTTTGAGCCAAGATGGGAAGGATGCGAGACAAAACCAATGTATACAACGTTAGAACTCGAGATCATGGGATCTGGCAAATCACCATTACAGCCTTTGAATAGCACTGGGGCAGTCACATCAAAACCATCGTAAACCTGCAACATACCACAGTATTACAGCATCATAAAGGGCACAAACCTGGCTTCAAAATATAAATCACTGAATCTGTGTATATAAAATGGTTGTTGGCCGATTTAAATTTCTGTTCTGACAGAAGACGGTTTTCTTCTGTTTTGTATTGCCGTGTAGTCTGGTAGAAGTTTATCGATGATGGAGGCAGCAAGGACCTCTGAAATGTCGGTAAACTTCTACCAGGCTACATGGTGCAACAACCCTGAAGGCAGTCATCTTCAGACTCACCACTGTGAAAACCTCAAGTCCTACATTCTGTTCTGACACAATATACAAAATGGGGTTGTGCGCTGCCACGACTCTTCGACAATATTTAGTGTGCTGCGAGTGTGGAAGTCTCTAGCAATTCAGAAACTTATGCGAGGGATCAAAGAAAACAGAAAAACTGCGCATCACAAAGTGTTAGAAATTTTAATTGTAGTTTTCAACCATAAAGATGGTTCCTCTAAATCACTGGTAACCACCTACAAGACTACAATGGGCAATGAAATGCAAAATATCACAATCTAAAGTTTAACTGCCATGCAACATTAAAATCTCATTCATGTAAAGTATTTGCTCACAGATGTGAAATCCAACTCAAGATTGAATTACAAAAAAATTGAAGATGCAAACTGAGTATAATTCAATGCAATGAAATGGTAGGAATAGTCTCGATGCTTGTTGTAAGCTTACGACATCAGCAAGAGGAATATGGTCTGCACGTGCCAATGCCTTTTCTGTTTCAGAGGGGTATCTTCTACAATGAAAGCCTTTGCATTGTCACATGTTTATGCATTTCCTTCTTTAACCTTTGTCATATGTGATCAGGAGACTTAAATCTCCTACTATATAGATGCCAGCCAGACTTTAACACTGGGATTAATGGTTTAATGGAGTTCTAGCGCAAGGCGCATGACTAAAATACTGTGCGTGTACACTCTGACACAAGGACGAAGTTTAACCACATGAACACCAGTTAGACCAGAGAGTACAGTCTGTGTAAGTATGGTATAAAACGCATAACAACCATTTTGAAGTTCTTTAAATACAAATACATTCCTTGGTTGTCATTATGTCGGACGTAAACATGACCTCTCCCACACCAGGCAAGGACATGCAGTGTTAGTGGTCATGGTCGATAAATTGACTCATACTGTACATCTTAAACACTGTAAATTTAAAACACATGCAACATAATACTATCAATTGTTTAAATTTAAACTCCCAGTGGAAAAGCCCATCATTAGCAGCAACTCTCTTAACCACAAATATGTCAAGGAAAATTAATTTGTTGATTTCATTACTCACAGCAAGATAGGAGTCACAACCTGAAAAGTAGGTATCAATGAAGAATTCTCTGAAAGTGATGGCAACTACTTGGCCGAAATCCACCATGATTCTCCAGAAGAATGTATCATCATGCATGTAGGAGCGTGGATATAGTGGCGATGCCACCTGTCCTGACGGGCCACTCAGGTCATTGCCGTGTACTGTGAACATACACCCACAATCCCATTAGCAGGCAAGCTTACCTTATAGCTACTGGGAACCTCAGGCTTACAGAGGCTTCAGTTTAAATGAATGATTCATTATGAATTTAGAAACAAACTGTGCAAGCATACTGTAGAGTCCATTATCGTCAGTTGACACAGGAATTCTGTGGGGTCTCTGGTACTACAAAGTCTCTGCTTCAAACCTGTGAATGTGTAACATGTGGTTGACAAGGATATGGCGACGGAACAATTTATTAAAGAAACACTGACTTCTCGATAAGCTCAACATTCAAGGTTCTGTAACTGTATGTGAAAACAATAGGTAATGCATATATAGTTTTGGTTGAAAAACCTGAAGGGAAGAAACCACTTCAAAGACCTTGACATAGATGGGAGAACAATAATAAGACGTGTTAAAAAATGGGTAGGAAGGTGTGGAATGGAACAATTTACATCAGAATAGGGATTAATGACAGGATCCTGTGAACACAGTAATGAACTTTTGATTTCCATACAAAAAGGGGCCAAGAGACTATTAGCTTCTATAGAAAGGCTCTGTTCCATGTACCGTCAACTAGAGTCTCAGGCATTCAAAGTGATTTAAATTTTATATTTTAATATTTTCCGTCAAATCACAATTTTAATAAGATAATAAAATATAAAATATTTAAAATATCATTTCACGTTCCGCATCGAATGATCGATTTACAAATTGGAACGTCTCTTACGACATGTTTCGGTTATATTTAACCGTCCTCAGGTATAAATTAGATTGGTAAATTTAAAACTCGAATTACAATCATTTACAATGTTATGCAGTTTATTGAAATGTTCTTATCAGATTACTCTTATATATTAGAACGAAGGTATTGTTTTTTATATGGCGTAGTTCATCTGATGTTCAATATTAGTCTGTAAAGCAATGGTTTAAATAAATAAAACATTAATAAATATGGAGTAATATAGAAAACAAAATGATGGTATGTTTTATTAAATTAA